GCAGGACTTCCTCTTCGCTGATGATGCAGCCATTGTTGCTCACTCTGCTGAAGACCTCCAACAACTCATGAATTGTTTTAGCAAGGCCTGCCAAGACTTTGGATTAACAATCAGCCTGAAGAAAACACAAGTCCTGGGCCAAGGTGTGGACTCACCTCCCTCTATTACCATCTCCACACAAGAATTGGGGGGTTGTTCAAGACTTTGTGTACCTTGGCTCAGCGATCTCTGACACTCTCTCCCTAGATGTCGAGCTGGATAAACACATTGGGAAAGCAGCTACCATATTCTCAAGACTCACAAAGAGAGTATGGCTGAATAAGAAGTTGACGGCATATACCAAGATCCAAGTCTATAGAGCTTGTGTCCTGAGCACACTCCTGTACTGCAGTGAGTCCTGGGCCCTTTGTGCATGGCAGGAGAAGCTGAACACATTCCATATGTGTTGTCTCCGACACATTTTTTGTATCACCTGGCAGTACAAAGTTACAAATAGAGTAGTCCTAGATCGAGCTGGAATTTTCAGCATGTATACATTACTGAAATGGCAACATCTACATTGGCTCGGGCATGTTGTGAGAATGGCTGATGGTCGGATTCCAAAAGATCTCCTGTATGGAGAATTAGTGCAGGGAAATCGCCCCAGAGGGGAGACCACAGCTGTGATACAAGAATATCTGCAAGCGGGATCTGAAGGCCTTAGGAATGGACCTCAACAGATGGGAAACCTTGACATCTGAGCATTCAGCCTGGAGGCAGGCAGTGCATCACGACCTCTCCCATTTTGAAGAGACCCTTGTCCAGCAGGCCGAGGCAAAGAGGCAGTCCCAGAAGCAGCCAAATCAGGGAGCTGGACAGGGGACAGATTGTATTTGTCTTCAGTGTGGAAGGGATTGTCTCTCTCGAAGTGGCCTTCTCATCCACACTAGATGCTGTTCCAAGTCCTTGATACAGAGCATGTTACCATAGTCTCTTGAGACTGAAGGATGCCTAAGAAGTTCTGTAGTTTTGGAGCAGCCATTCTACAAAGAAAAGGCCACTAAAATGCTCTCACTTGCCACCGCACCCCACCTCCAATGAGGGAAACTCTCAGAAAATACCTCCTCTAGAGCTCTTCATTCTCAAACAGTGTTGTATATCAGAAGAGCCATGTCCCAAATTATACAGTTCTGAACCCCAGTTCTACTGGTAATCATGACCAGCATAATGTCAGAATGGTGCTAATCCTCCTGCCTGACCAGACTTCCCCTTTCCTTCTCCTGCTGCCCCCTTCCTTCCTTCTGCTTTCATCCTCACCACCACCACTGTCCTGTTCCATTGAACTTGCTGGTTCATCAATGCCATTGGGTAGCCAGATTCTTCATCCTCAAGATGGGCTCTCAGCCCACTTTTTTAAATCTCCTCTTTGTGTGAGCATGTGTGTTTTAAATCCAGTGTGGAGGACCATTTCTTCACTGGAAATGAGGGATGAGGCTTCTGGGAGCTGAAGTCCAAATGTCCCCCATGAACAAGACTTCATTTTTCCTGTGGATGATACACAGGACAGTGCACCAGGTTGCCCACCATACTGAAACATTTCCTGATCATTCATTAATTCATTAATTCATTAATTCAGTCAGTCAGTCAGTCAGTCAGTCAGTCAGTTAGTTAGTTAGTTAGTTAGTTAGTTAGTTAGTTAGTTAGTTAGTTAGTTAGTTAGTTAGTTAGTTAGTTAGTTAGTTAGTTAGTTAGTTAGTTAGTTAGTTAGTTAGTTAGTTAGTTAGTTAGTTAGTTAGTTAGTTAGTTAGTTAGTTAGTTAGTTAGTTAGTTAGTTAGTTAGTTAGTTAGTTAGTTAGTTAGTTAGTTAGTTAGTTAGTTAGTTAGTTAGTTAGTTAGTTAGTTAGTTAGTTAGTTAGTTAGTTAGTTAGTTAGTTAGTTAGTTAGTTAGTTAGTTAGTTAGTTAGTTAGTTAGTTAGTTAGTTAGTTAGTTAGTTAGTTAGTTAGTTAGTTAGTTAGTTAGTTAGTTAGTTAGTTAGTTAGTTAGTTAGTTAGTTAGTTAGTTAGTTAGTTAGTTAGTTAGTTAGTTAGTTAGTTAGTTAGTTAGTTAGTTAGTTAGTTAGTTAGTTAGTTAGTTAGTTAGTTAGTTAGTTAGTTAGTTAGTTAGTTAGTTAGTTAGTTAGTTAGTTAGTTAGTTAGTTAGTTAGTTAGTTAGTTAGTTAGTTAGTTAGTTAGTTAGTTAGTTAGTTAGTTAGTTAGTTAGTTAGTTAGTTAGTTAGTTAGTTAGTTAGTTAGTTAGTTAGTTAGTTAGTTAGTTAGTTAGTTAGTTAGTTAGTTAGTTAGTTAGTTAGTTAGTTAGTTAGTTAGTTAGTTAGTTAGTTAGTTAGTTAGTTAGTTAGTTAGTTAGTTAGTTAGTTAGTTAGTTAGTTAGTTAGTTAGTTAGTTAGTTAGTTAGTTAGTTAGTTAGTTCTAACGTTTGTATCCCACCTGACTTAGTGAAATCACTATTCTGGGTGGTCATTACAATATGATATAACCCCTAAAACACCAATTCCGAAAATATAAATAGTGAAGACACTCTCCAAATCCAAATAACAACCTAAATAAATAAGCAAATAAAACAGAATGATGGAGACAACCCTCAGGTGGTCCGGGGCGGAAGTGTACGCTAGCTGAGAAGGAGAATATCCTCAAAAAAACCCCTTAAAAGTGTGGTTTTCAGCTGTCTTCAAAAACTCCGGAGGGAAGAGGCCTGTCAGAT